GGGTGTTATGCACAAACAATGAATCATGGAACACTTCATCTAAAACTAATGATGTAATGTATGGGGATTAACATAAGAATAAAAAAAAATAAAAAATAAAAAAATAAAAAAAATAAAAAAAAAGAAATGTGAGGACATTGTGGCCTTTATTTGGTTTTATTGAGGGTTGTTTAGGCACATCCATCCCCAAAAGGCACAGGGAGGAGGTCTGTCTGAAGGAGAAGCCAGCAGCAGGAGCAGCTGGAGCTGAGAGTGAGCAGGGCAACTTCTGGAAAACTCCACTCCACACTGAGTAGATTGGGTGAATCCAAAAGGACATTTCCCCAGGTCAGGCTGCAAGTGGCTTTGACACGCTGGCACAGTCACATACACACGGGGACAAGTAGACCAGAAACCAAAACCAAAGGGCTTGTCCTGGGATGTTGGAACACAGAGGCTAGTGGAACAGATGTGAGGCTATCCAGGGGTCCCCGATGAACCACTTCTCTTTCGGCCATTTAAGTCATCGATGAACCTGTCCCCAGCAGTGAGGCATCGTTTTAGGCATGTTTGGACTTTACTCTTATCCTAACCGTGTAGACCTTGATCATTCTAGAATCTAGATCATGGGTTTGAAGAAGCCCCTAGAAAAATTCTGAAATTAGAGAAACAGAAAGGGGTGTGTGTGTGTGTGTGTGTGTGTGTGTGTGTGTGTGTGTGTGTTGTGTGTATTGCTTTTAGGAAGGCAATTTATTAGCTGGCGTAGCCACTGGACCCCAGCAGACTGTGCCTAAGGAGCTTTATTTGGACAATTAGTGTTTCGCTGACATCTGCTTGCTGTATGTGTTTATTCCACATCTGCCCGCAGGAACGCCTTTGGTGTCCTAGTATTTCTGTCACTTGCCTCTACTTCTGTCTTCAGCCCTCTGGGAGAGCTTGCTGTGGACTGCCCGGGTGCACAGGGTACCTGGGGTAACTAGGGTAGCTGGGGTCACGGGTCAGAAAGCAGAGCTTCTCCTGAGCTGCGCAGGCATCGTTGTTTTCTACGAAAGGAATTCTAGGCGACCAGACAAACCCACATTGAAATGGAAGTATAATAACACATTCCAAAGTCAGAGTTACATGATCCCCTGTCAGGGAGGACGATTGGAAATCAGCACCGCCTTGTCACATAGGTGTAGATTCCGATGTGTTCCCACGGTCTCTAATCTTTGGTTCCGTGACAGAAAGTTATTATCACGGCTGTCAGACCAGGGCCCAGTCTCCCCCTTTGTGCTTTCACCCGACAGTAGCAGGGCCCCAGGTGGTGGAACCCTGGCCCCGGCCTCTCGGTGTCTTATTTGGACACAGTAAGCTGGAGCTGGAGCTTGGGTTGGCTCCAGACCAAAGATCTAAGGGTCAAGGGGCCTCAAAGGCCACAGGCCACCACTGTGAGATTCCTGCGGGCTTATGACGGCTGATGAAATGAAAGTCATTCATGTAAGCCCGTGACGAGCCAGCCGAGGCTGGACTGAGAACAATCGCATAGTGTGCAGATTCTGTTTTTTTTTTTAAGATTTTATTTATTTGTTTGTTAGAGAGAGAGAGAGCACAAGCAGGGGGAGCAGCAGAGGGAGAGGGAGAAGCAGGCTCTCCCTGAACAGAGAGCCCGATGCGAGACTCGATCCCAGGACCCTGAGATCATGACCTGAGCCGAAGGCAGACACTTAACCGACTGAGCCACCCAGGTGCCCCATGTGCAGATTCTGTTTAACTGCATGGAGACCAATGCCTTTATCTTTCCGGAGTACATACTAGGAAAGCAGTCAGGAAAGCCTAAAGTGGTCCAATTGATTCTGGAAGACAAATGATGCGCCCTCAATGTAAAGCGGGGGGCTGTGGAGAGAGCCTGGGCCGAAGCTCAGGGTCCCAGCCACACAGCGGCTTTGGACAAGTGACACAGCTGCCTCAGGAGGGTTCAGGCCCCTCACCTCCATCTAACTAACACCTGGTGATTCTGTGACCTCAAACTAGTCAGTTCAGATGACTAGGAAGACTTGCTCCAATGGGCTTCGCCATGAATTGCCATGTCCTCCATCTTTGATCACTGGATCTCGGTGGTGTAGACGTGGCCTAGAGAGCCATCACTTGGCAGGAGGCACACCTGGGCCAGGAGGCACCTAGCATCTGATACCTGAGAAGCTCTCCATGCAATAGAACCCAGACCCTTACCTCCCAGGAGCAGAGGGAGAGGAAGAAAACTAAGATTGTGGAATCCCCACCCACAGGGCACCAAGCCTCGGGCTTTAGATCCACAACCCCTTCTCCTGTGCACTTAGCAGGTGTTTGTGTAATCCCTGCTCTGCACTGGGTGCTGGGGGTTTGGTGAAGAACCAGACCATTGGGCCCCTGCCCTCGTGGAGCTTGCATTCTACAGGGTGAGAAAGGACAAAATGTGCTCAGCGGTTTAGTGACATTCAAGATGCTATGAGACCTAATGACAGGGGACCTGGCCCAACCTGGGGCTGGGAGAATAGAGGTCTAGACGAAGGAGAAAGAAAGAACATTCCAGCAGAAGGAACAGCACGTGCAAAAGTGCCAGGGTGTGAGGCCCCATGAGGAATGGAGAGAGGCTGGTGTGGCCGGAAAACAGAAATTGAGGGATGAATGAATGAGTGTTTGGAGTTTACCTTGGGGAGGGTAGCAGGGGCTGGGTCCTAGCAAGCTTCGTAGACTAGGGTCAGGTTCCAGTTCTGGCTAAGCCGAAAGAGGCCAGCTGTCCTCAGGCAGTGGCTTCCCTTACTGGCTCAGTTTGAGCCTCTGTATCAGGGGTCAGCTAACTGTGGCTCTTGGGCCAGTTTTGTAAATCAAGTTTTATTAGAACACAGCACACCTGTATGTCCGGGGCTGCTTTTGTGCTAAAAGGCAGAGTTGAAGAGTTGCAACACATACTGTATGGCCCACAAAGCCTAAGATACTTACTATCTGGCCCTTTACAGAGAAAGTCTGCCAACTCCTGTTTTATATTTTGAGGGAGTTTGCTGGATCATTATTTCCCAAAGAGGGAGTCCTAACCCCTCAGAGGGTACATAACTAAAAAATGGAGAGAGTAATAGTCCTTTCTGTTCAGGGTTAATGTAAGGATTAAACCTATGAAAGGTTTAGACCAGGGGTGCCTGGGTGGCTCAGTCGGTGAAGCGTCTGCCTTTGACTCAGGTCATGATCCCAGGGTCCCGGGATCGAGTCCCGCATCAGGCTCCTTGCTCAGCAGGGAAACCGCTTCTCCCTCTGCCTGCCCCTCCCCCTGCTTGTGCTCTCTCTCTCACAAATAAATAAATAAAATCTTAAAAAAAAAAGATTTAGACCAGAATATGTAGTACAAATTAGCATCATTTCTATTTATATTATCATTATCATACAATCATTTGGATGTCAGAAAAGCTACCAGAACTTTTATTTATATTTATTTTTTAATCTAAAGAAATAAAGCTTTGTTAACATCTACTGTTATTAGTACTTACATTCATATGTATATATATATATACTTTATATATAAGTTAATTTTTCATAATTTACTCCTAATAGCTAACAGTTTATTGAGCATTTACTATGTGTCAGCGAATGTTCCATGAGTGTCACAGGAACTAACTGTATATACCAGGAAGGTGCTGTTAGCCCCATTTTACAGGTGGGGAAACTGGAGCACAGAGGGGTTATGTAACTTGCCAAAAATCACACAGCCAATGAGTAGGAGATCAGAGTTTGCACTCAGGAGATCCAGCTTCTGAGTCCCCCTGCTATGTGTCCTCTCATGTACATACCTGTGTTGACTATATATGCTCAAAACCTTTTTTTTTTTTTTCTTACCCAATGAGAGTACAGGATCAGTTAGGTGAGGATGGTCCCAAAGATGCTGTCCAGGACTGGCATTCTGCATTAGCTGCCAGTTTGAGCAGACAGCTGTTTCTGGGGGACTTTGGATTGGCGAAGATTGACAGCTCTTCCCGGCTCCTGACTTGTCTTTTCGCCCACAGCCCACCCCGAGAGAGCCGCACTGCTGTTCGTGTCCAGTGTCTGCATTGGTCTGGCACTCACATTGTGCGCCTTGGTCATCCGAGTGTCCTGCACTAAGGACTTCAGGGAGCTGCAGCTGACGAGGGAGCACCTGGTGCCAGAAAGTGCCAAGGCTGAGGAAGATAGCGAGGATGAAGAGGGGGAGGAGGACTCCTCTGACTCTGATTTTCCGGGAGAACAGTCTGGGTTTTGTAGGACTTCGTATCCTGTCTACAGTTCCATAGAGGCTGCAGAGCTGGCAGAAAGGATTGAGCGCAGGGAGCAAATCATCCAGGAAATATGGATGAACAGTGGTTTGGACACTTCACTCCCAAGAAATATGGGCCAGTTCTACTGAGAAAGAGATGCGTCTTTGTGCGATCACACTTTCTGAAGAGGGAAGGATCCAAAATGCCCCTCCAGTTCTGTTTCACTTGTACCTTCTATGAAGGAGTATTTGTCAGGTCATCCAATACTGGTGAAGCCAGAAGCTATTAAAGGGACATTTCAAACTGTTTACAGCACATTTCAAAATAAATTAGGAGGGAAGTCTTTGTTTTCTGTATTTATTTAAATTCATAACATAAGAGTGCACATTTACTGAGTGCTTATAATGCCACGAGCTTCTCTAGCTGCTTTTCATGTATTAAGTCATTTAATCCCCACAACCACTTCATGACATAGTGCTATGATCCCCATTTTACAGATGATTAAACAGGAGGTCCCCTACAAACATAAAAAAATTGAACTGATATACAGGACGGCAAGCTTGAATCCATCCACTATGTGTTCACTGGCGGTGGATTTTAATCACTAACACTACTTGTTTAGAACAGGGGTCAGCAAATTTTTTCTTTAAGGGCAAGATAATATTTTAGGCATTGTGGTTCATGCCATGACTACTCAACTCTGCATTGTAGCTCACAGGTAGCCATCCATAGCTAATCCATCATAAATGAATGTAGCTGTGTTTCAATAAAGCTTTATTTATAGACACTGGAATTTTGAATTTGATTTCATTTTCACATGTCACATATTATTCTTTGTTTTTTTTATCAATCACTTTAAAATACAAAAACCTTTCTTAGCTCACAAAAACAGGGAGCAGGCATTTGCCTGATTTTGTAAACAAAGTATGGTCCACAAGGCCTAAAATATTTACTCTCTTGCCCTTTAGAGAAAAAGTTTTCCAACTCCCGATTTAGAATTTAAAGCTGCAGAGCTTTTAGTGGTAAAAGTGATCAACTAGATAACCCAGCAATCCTTTGATCCAGTGGAGTTACCTTTCAAACCATTGCAAGGGAGAAGAAAAAAAAAAGGTAAGGAAACAGATTCCTAATGGGAGATCTGGTGAGGGGTTCCTTTGGACAGCTCCCCTGGTGGAAAGGAGGCTTATAGCTGTGGAGTAGAATAAGATATTTTTTTCTTTCTAGTCCCAGTGGGACTCAGAGTATAAAAATGATGGTGTTATATCCATCTCATATGTCCGCTATGAACGAGCTCTCTGCCTTATCTTCCTTCTCCCGAAGGTCCCATCTCTAAATACCATCCCATTAGGCATTAGGATTTGACATATGAGTTTTGGGAGGAAACATTGAGTCTACAGCAGAGTTGAAATTCCCATAATGTAAAATTAACCATTTTAAAGTGCACCAACCACTGGCATTTGGCACATTCACGATGTTGTGCAACCACCAACTCTAGTTCCAAAACAGTTTCAGCACCAGAAAATAAAACCCGAAGGCGTCACTCCTTGTCCTTCCCTCCCTCTAGCCCCCCAGCCATCTGCCTTTTGTTGGGATTTACCTATTCTGGAAAGTTCATCTAAATGGAATCACATAATATGTAGCCTTTTGTGACTGGCTTCTTTCACTTAGCACCATGTCTTCAAGGTTTGCCTATGTTGTAGGTGTATCAGGGCTCCATGCTTTAATGGCGGAATGATATTCCATTGTATGAAGAGACCACATTCTGTTCATTCATTCGTCTGGTGGTGGACATCTGGGTTGTTTCCACTCTTGGCTACTGTGGCTATGCTACTATAAACATCTGTGTGCCGAATTTTAACAGCAGTGAGACTGCACACCAATTGACGACCAGAGACTTGTTGAGAAATCCTATGGTTTCCACTCAACAGAGGGAAGGGAGGGGGAAGATGAGTCAGAGTGACATCCCCTCTTTTACCCCCTACTTCTGCTGATTTCAAAATGAGCTTCCCTTACACTCACCCCCAAGAACGTGGGAGGGTAGGGTTTTGGTCAAGAGAGGTATCCTATGCACAGGCTGGGATGATTTGAACAGAGACTGAAACTCCTCGGGATTTCCAGGTAACTGAGTCCTCTGTAATATAGGGTCCTAGGAGAGGTTGATGGGGCTGGGAATGACATGTCTTAAATCTGTCATTAGAGAGAAATCTCTTCTAGGTCATGGGGGAGAATGAAATGAACACACAGCCTCATTGTCTAACTTTTTCATGAGGATTTTGTTCTGATCAAAGAGAACCCTTGTGCTTTCATTTCCCTGAGCCCAGCAAGGAGCACTTTGGTATTATCCCAGCTCTTGGAGCAGCCTGTCCCCGTTGTCTCCATATCCAGCTTTGAAGCAGCATATGTTCTCTTGCTCCCTGAACATAAATACTGTCCATCTGATGACCGTCTTCTTGGGGCTGTAGAGAACATGGCCACTGATGGTTTTCACTTTACCAGTTGGAGAAAGAGCTTTGCCCACATGGACCTCAGTCATAAAGCTTGTGTTGAATGTCACAGTGGGTTTTCCCTTATCTGAGTCTTCTTCCCCAACTCCCAGCCCCCACACACGTGCACACTCTTCCCAGGACCCCCGAGGAGGCACTGGAGGACAGGCCCGCCAAGGCAAGGCCCAGTCTTTGGCCTGTGCAAATGTAGTGAGCTATTTATTTGCATTTTCTGAGCCTCACAGAAGAATGCCACGTTCTTCTCAGGGACAGAGCCTGAAGGATCCTGCTGAGAATGTGTTTGGATGGGCACCGAGCCCAGGGGGGAAGAGGACCAAACCAGATTTGGATGAAGGGTTGCTGATGGAGCGTGGTGGCTGGAGGAAGCTCCAGATTGCAAGTCCACCCAGGGAGTGTGGGGCACACACGGCTTTGTGCATCTCTGGGCAACAGACATCCCTCTGTTCTCAAGCTGTGAGGTCCCGGAAGTCCCATGACAAGAAGCCAGCCCTCTGCGGGAGGTTTGCACATGTCACTACCTCAGTTACTTGCTGCGAACACCGACTCTCCAGACATGAGCTGACAGTTGGAAAATTCGGCCCTTCTGGATTCAGGGAGCTTGTTAGTGGGGCTGCTGGTATTTTGTAGATGCTGAGCATTCGGGGCCACTTTGGGGAGAAGCAGCACACACCCTGGCCCCAAGCAAGCACTGGGAAGCCCTGAAATCTGTCCCACGGCTGAGCCCACAAATGTGCAGTGCACGACACCGTGCCCCACCCAGATCCCTACACCAGGTGGCATCCACCCCAGCGGCTTGAGGGTGGCTGCAGACGGCCCACAGCCACCCTTTCCTGCAGAGAATCAGCCCTCACATTTTTGTCTTAGTCCACTCAGACTGCTATAACAAAATGCCAGAGATGGGCAGCTTAGAAACAACAGAAATGTCTTTCTCACAGTGCTGGAGGCTGGAGGTCCAGGCTCTGGGTGCCAGTGTGGTTGGGTGAGGGCACCCTTCCTGGCTCACAGCCAGCACCTTCTCACCCGGTGGAAGGCACAGGGGAGCACTCTGGAGCCTCTTTCATAAGGGCATGAATCCCATTTACGAGAGCTCTATCCTCATGGCCTAATCACCACTCAAAGTCCTCATCTCCCAATTCTACCATATCTGGGGGTTAGGATTTCTGCATATGAATTTGGGGCAGGGGGACACAATCATTCTGAATGGAGTGATTTCTTTCAAGAATTTCTCCTGAGAGCACTCCTTCAAAAAATCATTCATGCAAGAATCTCCATCTCAGGAAACTGACCCGCCGTCCAGGGGGGCACTCTGAGGACCTGGGGGCATGTGCGGCTCCTATCGGCCCACACCGCGGGCATGATGTCACCCGCAGCCTCAGTGGGAGCCAGACCCAAAGGACCATCAGGGACCCTTCCCCCAGTCAGGTGGTGCCAGGAAAAGAGCCAGCCTGGTATCTGGTAAGTCTTGGAAGGAGATGCCCATGGGAGCTCCCTCTCACTCTGCCCCTGGCCTTCTCTGTGGGTCTCCAGAGACCAGCTCCAGGTTACCTGGGGAACCAAGGCCTGAGGCTGAGTCCTCCCTGGCAGGTGGGGGAGTGGAGTGAGTGCTCCTTTCCACTCTCTCCCCGGGGCTGGAGCCAGTCCCCCCTACCCGCAGCCCATACTTCCTAGTGGGGACTCCTGGAAAGCACCACTGCCCTGAAGCTTTCACCCCGCTCCCTGCCCCCACCTGGACACTGAAACACAGAGGCCAACCATAGTGGGCATGGCTCTGTCCCAGACTCAGTGGTCCCCTCCTGCCCTCTTGCCTCCCAGCTTCTACTCAGACTTGGTCCTAGTTTGATCTCAGGGTGACCTATCTGTGCCTCAGTTTCTTCATCCAAAAAATGGGCATAATAACAATACCTCCTTCCTAGTGGTGTTGAGGGTGACTGTGCTTCACATCCAGGAAGAACAACAGAAAAGGTAAGTTTTTATCATCAATTATTCTTCCTCCTGAGTGGCAGCATCCAGGATGGCCAAGGCGTGTCACTTAGCACTTAGGGGATCTGACAGAATTCAAGGGCAAAGTAAGAACAAGCTGCTGAGGGAGAGGACCAGGCAGCCCCCTTCAGCCCTGCTACCGAGAAGACTTTGTAGAGGAAGAAAAACAGTCTGCAGGACTCGGAGGAAAGTGTTCAGGCCAGACCTTCCTTGGATTCTTTGGCCAAGTCCACGGTGGAGGCTCCCACGCATGGACTTAAAAGGCCATGCCCAGTTCTGGCAGGGTAGTTATGAACCTGGAACTATGGTCATTTGGTTTTAAGAAGCTCATTGTAAGCCTGACCACCAGTGCAGAGTTGGCCAAACTCCATCCCAAGACTGGACGGTAGTCCGGGAGATTAAATCCTAAATAAATACTCCAACTAAATGCCTTGTCAACTGGAAGCCATACTGGTCTATAGTTGGAAATAAGGCAAGAAAGAGCCATGATAACATCAACCACATAAGGGAGAATTCAGGAAGCCAGCTAATAACCGGAGGTCACCACAACCTTTTTAGGAATTTCAAATCACCAGACACCTCCTCTGGGGGGGGGGTGCCATGCTGGCTCCCCGGGGAATGAATGAGCCAGTATCAAATCGCAGATGTGGACCCTCCAAGGCAGT